GTTATCATATAACCCTTGGTTATAATACCTTAAAATAGATGTTAGCATGGTCATTTAGGGGATTATTTGCTGTTCTTACTGTATTTAATCTGTTTGTCATTTTAGTGGAAGCAAATTTAATGCTAAATATAACATTTTTTTAAAAAAATTGCCCTCTCAGGATACTATTTAGTGGCCTGGATAAAACAAAACAGAATTTCAGTCATGCACTGTTACTCTCTGTTACTCAGTCTGTTTTTAGGTTACTTTGAACAACTTTTATGGTAAAAAGTTACTTTTACTATTAACCAAAACAAAACCCTTAAGGTGAAGATATAGTAAAAGCAATAATATTTTTAGACATATCTATTAGATTTTCTTTCCAGAAGGTATCAAATACTTGGAAATAGAGCTAATGAGTCCTGTTGATTTTTTGTAGCTTATTTTTATGAAATTACTAGGGGCCCAGTGCACGAATTCATGCACCTTGAAAGGAACTGTTGGCTGCTAGGCTGCAGTGGGCACAGCCCATCCTCTGTGCCCCTGCCCAGCCCCTCCCACCTCGGCCTCCCGTCCCTTGTCTGCAGGTAGCCCTGCTCCCATCGCCACTGCTCCCACAGGCTGACAGCACTGGCCCTACTCACACCTGCTGCTGGCGCCAGTCCCAATCGCTCTGAGCTGTCAGAGGGTGTGAGCGGTGGCTACTGCCCTGATCGTCCCTCGGGAGCAAGGCGAGGTGGAGAAGCCCTCAGGAGCGTTTGGGGCCAGCTGCCATTGCTCGTACCCACTGATGGCACCGAGTGATCAGAACTGGTGCTGGGTGCTGGCAGCAGGTGCGAGTGGTGGCTCTGACGCTGGCTACAGGTGCAAGTGGGGCTGGCACTGGCAGTGGGTTTAAATAGCAGCGCCAGCAGTGGGTGCTAGCAGGGCCTTCGCCAGCAGTGATTGCAAGCGGTGGCTCCTGGCCCCGATTGCCCCTCAGGAGCAAGGGGAGACGGAGAAGCCCTGAGGAGCGATCGGTGCTGACAGCTGCTTCTTGCACCCACTGATGGTGCCGAGCAATTGGGGCCGGCATCAGGTGCTAACAGCAGGTACGAGTGGCAGTTCCAGTGCTGACAGCAGGTGCAAACACCAGCGGGACTGCAGCACACAGGAACAAAGAATTTTCAGTAACCACCAGAGGCTTGCCCCAATGACAGGAACCAGTGCCCCACCTTTGTCTGGCACTCCCACTCACCTGCTCCACCATCCTGCTGCGGCCGATGCCCACCATGTTCTGTGCTCTGCCACCCGCTGCCAATGCCCACCATGTTCTGCGCATGCCCCTTGGTGGTCAGCACACGCCGTAGTGACTGGTGGTTTGGTTGTTTGTTCGGTTGTTATGCCATTTGGTCTATTTGCATATTAGGGTTTTATCTATATACTAGAGGCCCGGTGCACAAAAATTTGTGCACCCGGGGGGGAGAGGGGGGTCCCTCTGCCCGGCCTGTGCCCTCTCGCAGTCTGGGACCCCTCAGGGGATGACCACCTGCTGGCTTAGGCCCACTCCCTGGGATATTGGGCCTAAGATGGCAATCAGACATCCCTCTGGCAGCCTGGCAGCCTCGGGGGATGTCCATTTGCCAGCGGGGAGCAGGCCTAAACTGCAGTTGGACATCCTTAGTGCTGCTGTGGAGGCAGGAGAGGCTCCCACCACCACCGCTGTACTGGCAGCCATCAGCCTGGCTTGTGGCTGAGCAGAGCTCCTCCCATGTGAGAGTGCCCTGACCACCAGAGGGCAGCTCCTGCATTGAGCGTCTGCCCCCTGGTGGTCAGTCTGTGTCATAGTGACCAGTCATTCCCAGTCCTTCTGCTGTTAGGGTCAGTTTGCATATTACCCT